CTTGGTGCACTCGCAGCATGAAATCATCTGACACTTTCTCAGGACATGCGCTTTCTTGGCCAGGCCGCAAATGGCATCTACGTCGATGATGGCACTGATATTCATCCAGATGTACTGCATGAACTATACGGGATGGCGCGCACTCCAGTACATCGGCGACGAGGACAGACAGGTGCAGGGCACCCTCCAGAAGAGGAGGAGTCAGAAAATGAAGATGATGCCATAGTTGATGGTCCTACCGCTGATATATCAGAGCAGATCGCAGCGGCTCAGCAGGGTAATGTTCGCCATGATCCTGTCGATGTGCCGGCACATGCGAGTCCTTTTGCAGATGAGGCCACAGAGACCTTACTTTTCAACGCTCTGGCTGCTGTTCGCGGAGATGGGTTCCTTCCGGCAGGGTACGGAGTGCTCATTGGAGAAGAGATTGATGCCTACGATCATGAGGAGGCCATACGTTTGGGACGTCATGGTACTAAGGAGCTCATAGTAACGCTGCCGGAACATATATGGCGTCCGTGAGCAGAGCTATGGGCACAGGGACTCCATCTCATGACCTATTTCATGCACGAAAATGTGTACGACTAGTGACAGAACACGTTAGCTACCAATTTCTGTATAATAGAAATGTTTATCTCTTACTGTGGCGCAGCAAACGAGATTGTACTTTGAGATCGACGATGGCCTGTCGGGATTGCATAAGCAAAAAAAAAGCCTGACTCAACGCAACTTCATTCTCCCCTCATTGCTCCGTCGTGAACCTCTGCTGACCTCTCCAGTGATGGCGCAACCTAGCAGCTCTCATCAACGCATCAAAGATGAAAGCGATGAGGAACGCTTGCCTGTGAAAGTGCGTATGGCCAGATTTGGCAAATGTAGACGTTCAGTTGGCTCACAAATTACAATCACGTAATGCAGAAGCTGAAATCATCTCACCGGAACAATGAGCATGTTAATAGAATTCTGAGAGGCCTGAAGGACAGCTTCGTAGCAAAGGTCTCACAAACAAATGCTCGCAAAGAAGTCCACCAGACATTTCGCAGCAATCGCAGCAATGTCAAAGAAGGTCGAGGTGGTCCTGCCATGAAGGTATTGTTAGCGCGTGCTCGATTTGCACATATCTCAACCTCACGGGCTGCTAGTTTGATGGCAGGGTACCTACAGAAAGAAGGTGGGTTCCAGATGGCATGGTGCGAGTCTACAGCGTGGCGGCTTTGCCAATTGGGCTGTCTGCGGTATGTGGCTGGTGACGCTATGCTAGATGAATCTGACAAATCAGCAGATACTCAAAGCGAAGGGAAACATTGTACCTGATCAGCATGAGCTCCTGCGACTGCAGGATCATGGCTTGGGTGTCATCGACTTGGTCGGTGGGTTCTTCTTCGGCAATACGTGGGGGCCTGCATCAATGCACGTCTTCCTGCGTGGGTTGCTACCTAAGCTTTTCTCCCATTTTGCGAAGAGTGATCCCTGGGTGATGTCCATCAACAAGGAAGATGACGAGGAGATAAGAACGCACCAGTTACCATATGTGTTGCTGTCTCGAAGTGGCAAGACCAAGTTCCAGGCTATCAAGGCCGAGCATCCAGATGGCCCCCACTATTTGCTGATAAAGAGCCGAAGTGGTGCCGGTTGGAAGGAATCGCAGATCTTCATTGGTAAGTCGCAGTGAGGGTAGACAGCCATATAGAAAACTCACAAAAATCGCAATGGACAGCACCTCGTCAAGCGATAGACGAGAACGTGTACGAACTGTGGGTACCAGGAGAGGCTGCCAAAAAAAATGCTCCGTCTGCTGATAAAAAAGGCAAAAAAAAGGCGTTTGCGAAGGAGGG